CATTTTAACTAAAAAATCTAAAAATAAATATATAAAAGTATATTTATAAATTATATATAATTACATATATATATATATATATATATATATAATTTATAAATATCAAAGTCTCAAAGTACCTTTCCTTAAAAGGGATTGTTATTCGTTTTAATAATAAATAATATACTTAATAAAAATGTTATTTATAATTAATTATTTCATAATTATAATTGATTATAAAGTTAATTATTTAACTTATTTTTATATTTTAAAAAATATTAATAATTGTCAAATATGTATACAATTTTTATTCATTTTAGACAATTATTAATATATCTTTTACTTCTAAATCTTGGTTTTCGTCATATAACACTTAGTTAAGAGTTAATGCTATTTTAGAATTTAATTATTTAAATTATAAATATTTTAATATTTTCTTTGTTAGCATATAATATAAAAAGAAAATAGAGTGAAAGTTATAAGTCTCAAAGAGAAACTATGATTTCAAGCTATATAGAAGACTCGTTCTAAGCTTGTGAAATTTGCTTAGAGCGACAAAATCTCAACCTAAAGCAAGCCAAGTCGGAGAACAACCCATGTAGATAGTATCAGCTTGCTTAAAGCAAGGTAGGGTACTCGCTTAGAGTGAGTGAAAATTAATCAGAACTACCATATGAGAGCTCTAAGTGAGTGAAGTCTAAAAGCACCTTTGAAGGATCACATAAGCTTGTTCAAAGCAAGCTACATAGACGCTTTGAGCAAGCAAAATTTGCTTATAACCACCATATATATAGAAGCGCTTTGAGTGAATCTTAATAGAAAATATCCATGGAAGATTGCACAAGCTTGCTAAGTGTGAGTTACATGGATACTTTAAACAAACATATTTGACCTAAAAGCTCATAATTAGAAAATCTTATGAAATAGGATCTTTAGGAGTTCTCTGTATCAATACTTTTCGAAGAACAATTTTAGGAAAATTGGAGAGAATTCTTATGAGAGCATTTTTGTAATCACGAGTTTATGAAAAAATTATCTTTCTTATGTAACCTTAATCATGAGGGATGAAGTCTTGCTGGTAGAGAGATTGATGTGGTTAAGTCTTATTATTCGTTTAATTATTTTTACTTTATACTTAATATTTGCTTTGCTCAATGTATGATTTTATAATTTTAATAGAGGTTAAAAAAATCCTTCTAAAATTACGATCTAGGTAAAATAACATTGATAATTACACTCATGCTTAGGAATATGGGTAAGTTGTATCAGCAAATTTTTAAGACCTTGATTTTAATATAGTTTGTTTAACAAAAATTATCAAAGAATTAAATTTTTTAAAAACAATTTAGAATTTCTTGCATAAAAAATTAGAATTTTAATTTATTTGAGAGCTATTGAATTAATTGTATAATTTCTAATATTGAATGAAATTTGGGAAAGATTAACATAAAAAAGATTAATGAAATCAAATTCTAGTTGTTCTTATTATTATCTAAATTTAAATTCTTTATTACTATGTTACATGTTTTTTAATTTCATAATTTTATAAATTTCTTATATTTCATGTTAAACAATATATATATATATTTCATATTTACGTAAATTAAAGGAACGCGAGTGTTATATTTAGTCTTCGGTCTTTACTATTATTCTTCTGCATTAGCAACAAATTAACAGTACAAATAAATGGCATATAATGATGAAAACAGTTTATTAGGCTCATTTTAATATTTAATGAAAATAAAAGAGATAAATGTTGGTACCCATAAAAAAATTAATGTACATCATCATTAATATGGTACACAATATTGTTAACATCATAATGTTTAAACTAATAATTCAACTTACCTTCAAAAATAAAATATTCAACTTTTGTTAGGCAAGGACTACATTCATCGAGACATACTTAATGATTAGTACTACTACTTTAAGGCTGATCTTTTTCTCCTACTTTTGTCATGACAAATATTTACTTCCTCTTTAAATATATTTTTCACGTTCTAAGAACTATATAAAAAATAATTTGTTATCTTAACCTGCGAAGTTCCTTTATTTACCTATTCTACACATCTTTTTTATTTACAGTGTTTAATTAATCATAAAAAAACTATTTTTTTAATTGCTTTTCACCCTCAGACTTCAAGCACAGATGAATATTCATCATAACTTTACAATACTCCATTATAAGTTTCGTAACTCCTTATATTATAAGGCTTACTAGAGTAACACTCGGTAGTTTTCATAATTCAGGGAATAACCGGAATAGCAATATAACCTTGGTAGCATAATTCTCCCTATAAACAAAACATCTCATACAATATATATTCCTTTGTAAAAATCACACTAGTCACACCAAACGTGACAGAACCATCAAAACTTTATCAACTTCAACAATAATAATAATTATTATTATTAGATTGTTTTGATTTAGCATCCTCAACCATTTCATTGTAGGTTCAATCTTTTCAAAGAGAGTATTTAGGTATAATTAATACTTTAAGGGCTTTCACAACTGTTCTTGATTCAAAATTAGAATTTCTATTTAGTACCAACTTTTGATGCTAACCTTTATTGCACATGATGCTAAAATGAAATTCTAATTTTATTGAAGAACAGTGCTAAAAACACTCAAAGTAATATATTACCTAAATGTTGTCCACCTCTTAAAATGAATAAAAACCCATGTCTTGTTCTTGTGGAAAATAGGTATCAACCTTCCAATTCTCATACCATGCTCCATGATCACCCATGGAATCATCAAGCCTCCAAGTTTCATCTTCAAAAATATGTTGGGGTACTTCCACACAAGCATATCCATTAAAACGACAATCATCATCTTCATACGACATTAACACGTCATTGATGTCGAAGTCTTGGAGAACATCCGTTAAGCAATGATTATGCACATGGTCTTGTGGCATGGACGTAGAAGGGTTCTGATTGTCCCAGCTCGTTGTGATCAAATTCATTGCGTTGACTGAATCGTTGACTTCTCGAGTTGGCATCATAACCTTGGTACATCTCATTGATTTAGGTTTAATCATCATTGGGTGTGAGGATTTTGCAGGATCAAGATCTCCCAAGGAGGTTTTTGAGCACCCCGGAGATTCATCATGGTCACGAATTTTGTGAGGATTATGATTCTGCTCCACCTTCTTTCTCAAATAAGTATTCCAATAGTTCTTAATTTCATTGTCTGTTCGCCCTGGTAAACGTCCCGCTATCAGAGACCATCTGAGGGAGAAAAAAAAAACATGTAAGTTTTAGTTTTTATGTATGCTTAAAAATTAAGCTTTGAGGGTGATAAATCACTACAAAAAGTTGTTTAGGAACCAAAATTATAGTTTTACTGTATATAGAATGATTAAAAATTATAATGGAACAACTATTAACTTTTTTCTTAATATTTTATTCTTTACGTGACTAGCAAAGAAAAGAAAGAAAAAAATCAAGCAAATGCAAATAAAAATAGATATTACCTATTTCCTAAGAGCTTATGTAGTCTGATAATAAGATCTTCTTCATCCGAAGAAATGTTTCCTCTCTTGATATCTGGTTTAAGATAATTCAACCATCGCAGTCTGCAACTCTTCCCACATCTTTTCAAGCCTACGTTCACGAAGAGCACCAACCACAAAAGGAATGAAAAATGGAAATAGAATAACCTAATTAATGATGAAGCGGTTTGAACTTTGAAACATGCAGTGGAAACAAAATGAAAAGCTTTATTAATTGTTTTTCTAGCTAGACAAATAATTTTGCATTGCATCATAATATATATATATATATATAATATATATATATATAAAT